GGGGGCATAGTCGTGAATGCAGCGTGTTTTTGTACGCGTAAATTTGTGCGAGTTGCGCGCGGTTCGCGTCGACACGCGTGCAGAGTGTGCAGGGGGGGGGTCCGAGTGCGTCGAAACGGAGGGTTGCTCGCTTTTCGCTTCGACCGCAGACTCTTGCCCTTTCCTGAAGCATGTCGTGCGCAGTGTCTCGACACTATACTTGCAACGAGTTTGTTTTGTGATATAGTGTTTCCGCTGTGTACCACCATCCTTTGGAAACTGTAACAGCAGGATCGTTACCCACGAACACAGTCGGCGACGCGGGGGACATGCGCTCTAGCGTGAGAGTGCAGACAGTACTTACACACGAAACCGGCCCAGGCAGCCATGCCAACCGGAGTTGCCAACCGTTGCACCCGCCAATGCACATCACAGAACCTAGATTTTCACAAAGTACCGACGGTAACGCAAAGCAGATCGAACTGACCAGGATGACGTCCATTTATACATATATATATATATTACGTGAAACTATAATTTCTGCACAAGTTCCTGTTGTCACGCCACACCAGACACATGCACCCAAAGCAAACGAAGAACAACTTGCGTGCCAAGACCGCGGCCAGCGCAGACAAACGCACAGACTGTGCCAAAACAGAGGCGTGCCTGGGATGGGTGCCAAGTCCTCTCCTCGTATGCTCGTTGTCGATGCGGTTTTTGTTGCGGTTGTTGGGTCCGTGTATTGCGCGCGCACGCTCTCACTTGCACAAGCGTGATCGCGCGCGCGAAGTCCGGGGAACATAGGTTTTGGGGAGTCACGGTGCATGGAGAACACGACGTTGTGCACGTGGCTCTAGCGAGCAAAGTCATACACGCAAGACAAATTGCATTGAAGACTAAGCAGTCGCAACGTGACAATACAGGGGCCACACAGAGGTTGGCGTAGGTACATGTCGCTGCAACCCAGCTGCAGGAAGCAGATGCAACAGAATCTTTAAAAAGTCTCCTCCTAGTGTTTTTTGTTTTTGCGTCGTTCCAAAGTGAGCGGCGTGAGCGCCTGTGGTAGATGCACACGCATTGGACTCGGAATCTGCCAAGTCGCTGGCTCCTGTGCACCTGGCTCCTTGCAAGCAGTTGCGCGATTTTGTGTAGCTCTGCAAGGCACTTGGACCCATTATTTTGCTTCAACCTCTGCGGCTGTGTCTTCGGCCTGCAAGCACGGCGCGCACTCCGAGCAAGTTCGCGCAAGCAAGGCTGGATCCGAAAGAGTCGCTCCGCAGGTGGTCGGCGCTGCAAAGGCCATCGCCGACAGAAGGCCCGGAGAAGGTTGCGCGCAGCGCTGCAAGTGTGTGGCTGGATTTGGTTGTTGGTCTGCGGATGTCACGGGTCCTCAGTGACCCCAGTGGGCTATCAAGCGGCACGCTTGGGCCACGCCCGAGGGGATCCAGCACGAGGGCGACGCAGGCGAGAGCCGCGCGCCGCGAAGGGCAAGGTGTTGCGGCAAACTGAAATACAGGCCTACTTCCTGCTCGCGCCGGGCGAGGGTGGGTGTCTCTTCTACGCCGTGAGCACGGAAGTCAGTGGCGGGCAGAAGTGGGTTAACTCAGCTGCGCCCTTGGTTGTCGCCGTGCCGAGCAACTGGACGTCGTATGTTGTGTTGATCTCTGCGGGTATGGCTTCCGCCTGCAAGCCCGGCGAGACG